TTCCCCCCCCTTTCCGGGAAAAAAAAAAAAAAAAAAAAAAAAAAAAAGAAAATGCCATACTCTGGAGAGAGTAAAACTACAGATACTATGAGAGCAAAATTTCACCAAGAAAAGAAGGACTGATCACGAGGGTCAGATGAGGCAGAGAGGAGAAGGGCTGAACTCCATCCAGGGCTGGCACTCAGGCCAGAGCGGTGGACAGAGCAGGGAGGAAGTCGGAGGCAGATGTCCCGTCTGGGAAGCTTGACAGAAGGGAGGGGACAGAGGGGCAGTAACTGGTGGGGATGTACAGTGAATCATTTGGAGATCTGAGATCTGCCTGTGGTTTTATTCTGAGCAAAAAGAGCTAGTGCAGACACAGAGCTAAAACATACTGGAAAGAGAGAGTATAAAAGTAGATGATATAAGAGTCCTGGAGGAGACAGGAGGGCATGGGATAGAGAGCTTCTGTGGATGCACTAGCCTCAGATAGGAGGCCCCCCGCCTTTCTCCAAATAGAGGGCCAGGAGGATGGGGGTGAGGGGAAGTGGACACAAATGGAGCCAATTTGTAGGTGGGGAAAGGCAGGCATTAGGGAGTTCATGCCTGATGACCTTTGTTATCACCGAGACATTCAAGCAAAATTACTTGCACAACAAGGGAAACATGGGTGTGGGGCTGGGTTTTGAAACAGCCCAGGAGGGGATGATAACAGACTTGACAGCCAGCGAGGGAGACCTGTGTGAGGCTGGACATCACAGATTATGCAGGACAAGGTATGGTGAATGTGCTCTCTCCAGGCAGGGGAGGGGAGCTTTCTAGCAGGTTGTCACATTGGTCCATCGTAGAGCAGATGACTTAGGAGGATAAAGGGATTGAAGAATGGAGAGTGGTTGAAGAGATGTCATTCAGTCTAGCCGGGAGGGCAAGGAGATGAAGCCACGAGGGGCCTGAGAGCCGTGGCTCCTGGAGATCAGGGAAAGGGAAGAGAGAAAAAAGCAGGAGAGAGCTGAATGGTGAGGAGTTCTGGTCGGAGAGAATGGTCTTTGGATTGAAGTTTGCAGAACGAAAGCAAATGTGAGACGTGTTCTCAGCGTTGGTTTGCTGAGGAGGAATGGGGCTGAAGGCCGTGGACTGAGGGGGAAGAGACTCAGGCCAGCGAGGGGATGGGTCACCCGCGTGGATGCTGAAGTCCTTGGGTGACAGCAGGAAGTGATGCCTGGGAGGGAGTGGCCAGTCAGTCGGTAAGTGACGAGGAGGGCACGATAGCATCAGAAGAGGACAGTTCACTCAGAGGACAGCCTTGTGCATGTGGGTCACAAAGCACTGAACTGAAGGTGACAGTAGAGCCCTGGCCACAGTCTGCAGTCCCGTCTCCCTGGGAGGCTGCACAGTGTCCCCTCAAAAGGCCTGAGAGAGAGCTGTGGCCCTGGGCACACTTGAGGGGCTTCACTAGACCAGGAGGTGGTGAGAGAGCTTGTCAGAGATGGGGCCACCGTGTTCCACAGAACTCAGTGGAAAACAGGGGAGATGGAGTTGGAAGTGGAAAACACAGGTGGGACAGGGCTGAGATTCCAGGAGAGGAGAACCAACCGGGGTTTTTTAAGTTTTCCATGGTGGGAAAAGGTGGCAAAGGTAAGAAATTAATTGACCTCACAGTTCCTGGTGGACTCGGCACCAGGTTGTATTACCTGAAACTGTTGCAGGATTTTAGCAATTGGGGCGTGTAGATTGTCACCTGTATTTACTTTTTGGTGGTTATAACATCTTCATACAGGAATTTGTCAAGGAAGGAAAGATAAGAGCTGGAGGAGTAGCTGGAGTTTGTCGCAGGTTATAATATTTTGCCCATAAAGTAAAGAATCTTTATAGATAGAAGGAGCAGTAATAGTTATTAAGCACTACTATGTGTAAAAACTGTGTCTGATGCTGTACGGTATTCAGTTTAAGAATAATAATGTATGATATTAATTGAATTACGATGACCCAAGCCCTGTTCTAGATTCTTTATTTGATTTAGCCTCATCTTCAACCCTATCGTTTTTATCCTCCCCACTGAATAGATGAAGGAGCTGAAGGACATAGAGGTTGGATAAACTTGCTCACGGTCACACAGCTGACACGTGGCAGAGTCATAATCAGAACCCAGGCAGTGCAACGAGAGCGAGCTTGCTCCTTCCTGCGCCACTAGACTGTGTGGCCTTATGGTTTCGGATGTGGACTCTTGAAGAGTTGGTAATCTGACAGGAGGTGCATGGAATGAAAACAACACAGCTGTAGGCCTAGACATCTAGATGTTATTCGTAGTTAAACTAACAAAACAAAGTGAGGTCCATTTCCCTGGCAGTCCAGGCTCCTGCACTCACAGGCACATTTGCATTAGGTTTTTTTCTTTCTTTCTTTTTTTTTTTTTAACTCTAAAGAATTCATTTTCTGTTTTTAGAGCCATCTCAGGAATTGCACTTGGAAAACAGTTAAAGTCTTGATTATTCTGAGCTGATTGGCCTTAGGCTGAGTGTTTCTTGTCTCCTTTTCTTTTTGGTGCCCTTTCATCCAGCATGTTTTACAGGTGGTTAACACTGAGAGAAAGAGAGTGGGAACATGCTGACAGCTACTCTATTCTTATAGGTCATCCCCAAATAGTTATATGGGAGAGGAAAAGCTGATGATAACAATGATTGCTCATCTGAGGTTATAAATGATCTCTGCTCCACTACCACGGACCATCGACAGTCGATCAGATTGCACTTATAATTTTTAAAGTTAAAGTCAACAATACTAAATATTTGAATTGTTTTAAGTCTCAAATTTCCTTGGAGCATTTTATATAGTAAAAATATATATGATAGGCAATGTTTTAAAGTAGAGGGCTCCTGAAAGCATATTCTTATTTATTTAAGAATAAAAAGGGGGTTATAGAATTATGTCCAATGGTAATCAAAAAATGTCCTGATTTTGGTGACTTTAATGCAAAAAAATCACATGCCCACTTTTCTGAGTTAATAAAATTTTTCAACATTGATAAAACCTTTGTAACAATGATCTATAAATGTCAAAGGTAAAAACTGAAGGATTTGAAGATGTACTGAGTAGTTTTGATTCAAAAATATCCTTAACATTTTTGTGTAACAATATTTTATGATTTGATATATTATATATTCTATATAGCACAGTGAATGGTACCTATACATAGCAAGGAGACATTAGAGTGGATTTTTTGATACTATATACCTAATATTTTATTGTACTTCTGTTACAACTTTAATTACCTTTAGTAGACCTGGTTATTAATAAAAATGTCATTTAATTATTCCCCAAAAAGGACATTCAGGTAGACTGGAACCTTGGTTCTGTTAGTTATTTTGAGTAAAACTAAGCATTTTTAAATGTTGTAGTTGTGGTTTGTGCTTTATATATTTCAGATAGGAAAAGAACATGTTGGCCTGAAGGCTGTGACTGAAATCCTCCAGGATATTCAATATAAGGTCAGTCATTATTAAAAGAAATAAAACTGCTGGTTGTGTAAGAGGTCCCCATGACCACTTGTGGGTTTGATGATTTGCTAGAAGGGCTCACAGAACTCAGAAAAGCTGCTATGCTTAACGATAATGGTTTATTACAGTGGAAAGAAACAGGTCAAAAATCAGCAGAGGGAAAATGCGTGGAGCAAAGTCCAGGAGAAACCAGGCACAAGGTTCCAGTTGTCCCTTCTCAGTGGAGTCACATGGGAATCCCCCTAACTCTCCCAGCAATGACATATCACATGTGTGAAGTGTTGCCAACCAGGGAAGCTCACTGAGCCTTGGCGTCCAGGGATTTTATTAGGAGACAGTCATGCAGCTGGTGTTAGTTACCTGCATTGTAACTAACACCAGCTGCTCAAACTCTAGAAGTAATTCCTCTTCCCCCCAGCGCTGGTGTTAGTTACCTGCATTGTAACTAACACCAGCTGCTCAAACTCTAGAAGTAATTCCTCTTCCCCCCAGCAAAATTAGGCCTTCACCATAAATCACATTGTCACTTATCTGGTCAAACCGGTACAGTATGCCCCAAGGCCTCAGGTATACAACACTAGGAGTTCACATAAATACAGCGTGGCCCAAGGCCTTAGGCATACAAAAACGCAGCACTCTTATTGGGTAAATTATTCCAGAGGCTCAGAGATTATAGCTCAGGAGCCAGCCAAGGATTAGTCTTGAAGACAGGCATTTATTTGGGATGTGCAGGGTTTAAACAACACAGGCCTACCGAGTCAACCCTTTCCTGTTACAGGAAAGTTATATAGATATAACAAGTAAAAATTTGGGGAACCACACTTCAAAGGGCTTACACTAAATAAATCTTTTTTAAAAGTACACATATGCCATAAGATAATATCCTAGAGAAGTTGATTTAAATCAATATGACCCTGCAATGATATTGCATTGCTTCCAGCATTGCTAGGAAGCCAGGTTCTGTTATAAACAGTACCTTCTGTGCTCACACTGAGTCGGTCCAGCATTGCTAGGAAGCCAGGTTCTGTTATAAACAGTACCTTCTGTGCTCACACTGAGTCAGTTGAATCCTAGTGGCCTTGGGGAAGGGAGTAGTTTAGCCCTGTATGGCTGCTGGAGATACAGAGCAGAAGTTGAACTTGCTCGACTGAAGGGGATCCAAAGCCAATTCTAAGATCAGTCTGGGAATTAGGTCTGATTGATTAGCTCTACACTATCACAAGCCTCAGGCATCTTGAACCAGGCAGAAACTACACACAAGATCTCCTGAGCAGGCTCTGAATAAACCCAGCTACCAAAAGAAGCCCAGACTGGTCAAAAGAAGCTGGTAAAAGGGGTGAGGGCACATTTTGACTGACATTTGTCCAATATAAATGGGCCAAGAAAATTGGCTTTATTTCTTCAGCTAAGAGGACATCAATTGTTATGGAATACAAGAGGATATGGGGAGGCAAGTAAACTGGATTCTTAAATGCATAAAGTAGACCCAGGAAGTGAAGAAGAGATGTAGAGGTTATGCAATAACTTTCCCTGTTACATCTGTATGGACAGAGTCATCTCTTAGGGAAATTCAATTCACATGACAGATATGTCTGCCTCTAAGGCCTAAGCAGTTTGAATGACACAATTAAAAATAATATTAAATGCAAATTATTCAGTAAGGGCACAAATATTTCCCTTGAAATTTAAACCTGGCTTTGATAAAAGTTGATTGAAATTGATTATTTGATCTGACTTTCAGATCTCCCTTTCTGGAGAGGAGAGCATCTAGAATAGATCCTAGAGCTGAATTACCAAATCCAAATGGGACAAAACGAAAAGTTGGGGGTCAGATTGTAATGCCAAGAAAGTTAGCAGCTGAGATCAAAGCAAACAGGAGGAAAGTCGTTTTGAAAGTATTCCCCAGCCAGGGTGCAGGTATTTTACACTAAGACATTTCGCCCACGTCTCTGGAATGAAAGTGTCAGGAGCGGAAAAAGTAGCTGATGTGGGACAGGCTTACACTAGTTGTAAGTTCCACACCAGGACTTACAGGGAAAATTGAACTGTGGTAGCAAAGAAAATAGCCATCCAGTCAGAGCAGGAGTATCTTATTGCAGCCAGCCAATGTTCCAACAATGAAAAGACAGAAAGAGATGCTACAAATCTAGGAGACCAGATGATGCCATTCTAAAAAGACTTCATTCTAGATTTT